TTAAACGCCCAACACAAGACCCCATATCAGCCCTACAGTACCGCGCATGTAGACGATGTCGCCCGGCTTGACCTTGTAGCTGTAGATGGCGTCGAGCGAGGTGAAGTTGCCCTTCCCGTTCTCATCCACCACCCATGTTGTCTGCAGATGCACCACACACCCCCGAGTCGAGCGTCTTTTGCATGAGCCGATTGCACAAGTACCACCAACAGCACAACCCTGAAGTTGACGGGAGATATACCGCTTGCGCGTGTTGGACCAGTAGGAGACACAGGGCCAGCAGCGCAAAGCCGAGGCCAGAGTACCGCATCCCTTGCGAGAAGAATGGCTGCATCACTGTTGTTGTAGTTAACTGTAAGAAGCTCGGGTGAGGTCTGTGTCTGGTGTGTCTTTTAGGGTGTTTCGGTGGCCCAGGAGGTGGTATTGGGTAGCCCAAGATGATGGGGATTGGTGCAAGGGATCCGGTCGATCTCCGCCCCACTCCCGCGATTGGTTGGTGCCGATCCTAGGATCACAACAGCAATCGGCGGTATCATCCTTTCGGCTCTTTGGCTGAAGCCAATATATTGAGATTAATTCCGGGAGTCCAATCGGGGCTCAGCCGAAAAGAAAATAGAAAGAAATCAGAAAAACATGACCCTGCTGCCTAAATGTGAGGCACTTGGAAACTGTTGTGGAGGGTCAAAGTTGTGTACTTTTTCGGGCAATTGCAAGCAATCGCAGTCGATCTCTGCTTTGCTTCCTTCACACATTATCCCACATTCCCAAATTGTGCGCATGCTTCAGAATCAACACGCCGACGGACACGTCGTCATCACCCTCGACAATGCGGTAGCCCGCCGCACGCGCCCTCGCCGCCTCCGATCCGATCAAAAAGATGCGCTGGAGCGTCCTCGGCATGTCGAAGTTCAGATCTGTGTGTCCCTCGCCGCCGTCGTTGTGCTAGCCAGGATTAGGGTCCCGGTTTCGTCGTATCTCGCGAGCGCCGACAACAACAACACTTAAAAAACAGCACATGCATGGTGTCCGATGCCGGCCGAAGAGATCGCCGCCGCCGCCACGCAGCTGCCGCCGACGCCGACGCAACCTCGCTCCACAGCACCTCGCTCAACCCCGCCGACACGCGCCGCACGCCCGCAGCCGCAACGACCAACACCTCCGCCGCCAGACCAACGCCTCCACCGTCTCTCTCTCTCTCTCTCCGATTCTGCAAACAAAACCAACAAACAGAACAAAAGAAGAAACACAAACGACAACCTCGCGAACCCACCACCATCTACTGCCTGTCCGACGAACTCCTCGCCATCCTCCGGCGCGCAGGTATCGCCGGCCCCGACGCGACCTGCCGCGAGCGCTTCGGCACCACCGCATCGCGCCGCCTCCGCGCCCTCTCCATCGACCTCCACCCGCACCCCACCCCGTGCGCCTCCACCGACGACGCCCTCCGCCGCAACCACCCTCGATGCCTCGACACCGACACCGACATCACCACGCTCGCTCTCGCCTAACCCGCCACGCCGCCCTCGGCTGCCTCCAGCACGCCGTCGCCAGTGACGACCACAGCGGCCTCATCATCGCCAGCATCCGCCGCGAAGCCGCCGTCGACGATCCACCACCGGACGACGTCCACGTAGTCGGGTTCGGCGGCGCTTCGGAGGAGGGCCGGGTGCCATCGGATGTGGTCGCCGGCGTGGATGCCATCGGAGGGTGTCGGCGCGGCCGTACATGAAGGCGGTCTGCACGACAGCGTCGTCGGGTCGGTGTCCGTGCGTGTCGCGCATCCATTGCAAAGCGTCAGTGTTGCCGCGCGCGGCGGCGCTTTCGAGCAGCCGGTGCCAGTCCACGGGACCGCGCGCGGCGGGCCTCTCGCTGACGTGCGTTTGGCCGGCGTGCATGGCGCGTTCGGCGATAATGTGGTGGTGGTGGTGGTCGTGGTACGCATCATGGTGGAGCGATTCGAGTACGGCGATGTGTCCGTGGGTGACCTGCACCACCCCGCGCAGCGGCGACAGATGCTCGCCGACACCATCGGACACGCGCGCCACGCCCACGCTGTGCGACCCTGGGCCACCGACGAGCTCGCCACCATGACTGCGTGACGGCCCGACGAACACGATTGCCCACCGCCCCAGCCGCTCTGCATCTGGCATTATTCTCGATTGGTTTATCGCGAACATCATCAAGAATCTTCCATTGCTTCGGGGCTGGGGAATCGTGACGACAAAATCGCGTGTGTGATCGAAGTCATCGAAAACCTCGAGAGCGAATAAAAGGGTTTAATCAGTTTTGTTCTTTGCTTTGGCGTCTTCGAGGTAATCGACCAGTTCCAGATGCAGGGGTTCGGCGATGGCGCGGCCCGGCGCCGTGCAGATGAACCCTCCGGTGTACAAACGCACGAGCTTCGCCTCGGCGTGTTCGACGACGCACTCCTCGATGTCGCCAGGCTCCATGAAGGGCTCTAGATGTTTTGCGTAGGCGCGACACCGTTCGATGCCCTCGTACCCGATGGCCTGGATCTTGTCAGCGTCCAAGACAATGTCGCGCAGCAGCGTGAGGTCACCGAGGGCCTTGGATGGATGACCTTCCTTCGTCTCGCGGCTGTATGGCACGTTGTCTGCGATCCTAAGCACGACGTCGGCCATCGGTAGCTCGCCGCAAAAGTCCGAATCCGCGATGCAGCGCTTGAGCGCCTCGATGTTGACGTTGGGGTATTTGTGGTACACAGGCGCTCACCGTCGTCATTTACCACAGCGCCTTTGTACCACGTTTCGCTGAAGCGAGTTTCCGATCGGTAAAGTTTACCAAGCAGGTGAACGCGCTCTAGTCGGAGGATCTGGTCCATGGAACCTTAAGGTTGTGTGTTATGGCGAGAAATAAAGGAAAAAGAAATACGCACAGCCCCTCTTATGACCGTTTTGAAAACAGCGCCTTCTTCGTTCATTTTCTGGTAAAAAAGACCCTCACTAGACTATGGGATAGGAGGCCCAGTCGGCAATACCGCACATGTTCTTGCCGCGCGCCAACCTGAAGAAGCCCTTCTCGCCCCACGAAGTGCCCCACGAGTTCTTGAGGATCCAGAAGTCCTTGCCGTTCTCTGTACCATAGCCGACGAGAAGCACTGCGTGGGTGGGTCGGTTCCCGCAGTTGGCCACGTCGAGGATGCCGCCCGAGTAGTACGAGAATTGTTGGGTCCCGGCGTTGATGGCAACGGAGACGGTCCCGACAGTGGCAACTGCATCGAGGAGCTGCTGCTCGTTGCCCGCACCTATCCTGACGTACTTGGCAAGGTACGTAGCCTTGGGCTTGGAAGCGTGTTGGCAGGTACCGACACGATTCGTGTAGGGATAGTCGGCCTGGGAGACCGCGCCGCCCTTCTCCTGAAGCCACTTGAAGGCGGTGTGCATCCAACCGCCACTGCAGCCACCGTTGCCGTACTCGCGCGTGCAGTCGACGATGTGCTGCTCGGAAAGATCGGGGAGAGTGTTGTGCTTGCGCCAGTGGGCAGTCTCGAGGGCACCAATGGCGGAGAACGCATAGCAAGAGCCGCACGAACCTGAAAGAAAAGAAGAACCACACATAAATAGAAGATTGGCAGTGCATATTGGGCTTGGGGGAGGCAGTGTACCCTGGTTTTTGACAGCCTGTACAGCGCCCCATATTCTCCAGTCGAGGCTCACGGGGTGGCGACGGGCGAGGCCGGAGGAGTTAGCCGCCGCCTCGGTGGCGTTGGCCTCTGTCGGAGTAGCGTAGACGTCGTCAAAGTCGGAAGCGTTGAACGGCGGCATCGTGACGGTGTAGAGCGCCTTGTAGTCGTCGAAGGTGAGGTCGCCAAACTGGTTCATGCCCAGGCTGTAGCTGTGATTCTGGCGGTTGTGCTCCTCGATGAAGCGGTAGTTCTCGCGCCACACGTTCCACCGGTGGGCCAACTCCGGGTTGACGTAGGTCTTGTTGTGGGCAACCACCCAATCGGTGAACTGGTGCCTGAGAGGAGTGTCATGCTCCTTCTGGTCGGACGAGGCCGAGGCAACGAAGAAGACGAAGAGGGCCACCGCGGAGAGGGCGAGAAGCGTGGCGGGACGCATGGTGGCTGTGGCTTGTGGTGGACAAAAAGGCCGGAGCTTTGTGTTTGCGTTTTTTTCTGTAATGTGTGGGAGTCGCAATTAGGGTTTAGACAACCAATGAGCACATGCGCGGAGGACTCGCACTGCAAAAGGCGAGTCGTTGCCTAGGCAAACTCAAAGCCGAAGGCCGAGGCCACCGAGCGCCTAGGCGCTTTTGTATGTCCACTTTCTCTTTCTCTCTTAATCAGGTTTGCACGTTTGGATTTGAGCGTCTAACCCTTCACAACAACATCATCTGCTGTTGTTGAGCAGAAGCTGAAACATAAGACAAAGGGCGACGAAGAAGACAAGTAGAATGCTGCTGCGACCAGCAACATCTGTTGGACATTCACCATCTCCATCTTTTCTACACTTTCTTGATCCTTACTCTTTTCTTTCTTCTTATTCATTTCCATAGTTTACTATACTTATACCACTTCAGATCTCCTGAATACATACCTTTTCTCTTCTCAGACATCTACATGTCTCCACGGCTTCTCAGCCTTATATCACACTACACCTTCCAACAGGTTATGGGCCCATGCTACATCTAGTGTTACTCTCAACTACACTCACCCACATCATGAGTATCAACACCAACACCAACATCAATGGTCTATGAGTTGTACCCCTTTGCAACCAGTCATTGTTTGCCAAGTGGAATAGAACTGTATGCCTCACTCTTCACAAACAAGGACGTACACAATACATCACCACCAACTACACCACTATCATTCAGGCCATAGATGACTACAACACCAAACACACAGCACATCTGTTTGAATCCCTTGCCATCACGTCAACAATATTGATCTCATCAGGGTCCATCTCTGGAGAGAAATCATTGGCCGCCAAGGCAAAATTGGACAACACCAGGAAGATGCAGATCACAGCCCTCATCAGCAATGCAGCATCCCTCAAGTCTGCACAAGAGCTATGTAAGGGGCGTTGCAAGATGTTCATCCTCATCTGCAGCACCATCACACCAGAGCTCCTCAAGGACATATCCAGTATGAGCAATGGCTGCCCCCTGGCCCTCTGGAAAGCTATCAACAACCATTATGGCAACAACAACATTGCTCTCCAGACTGCCCAGCGTGATCTCAGCAAGCCCAATATCTACCTCATCCATGCAGGTGACATGGTATGCTTGATCTGGGCGTGAATCCAAGCGCTTGTCAATGTGCTTGCCACTGAGACTGAAGGACACAAGATGTCAGAACAGAGTCAACTTGTCATCCTTGCCACTGCCCTCAAGAGCATCAACCCTGCATTCAAAGCCCAGTTCAATGCACTCTCAGATGACACACCCACAGATGCCATCCTCAAGGCACTCAACCATGTCAAGGCCTCACACCACGCCACTTCTGGCCCCAAAGCTGTCCTCTACACTGGGCAAGGACACCAGCAACACAGCCATCAGGCATTTCAACATCAGCAGGCGCCACACAGCACATTTGCACCACATGCTCCACAACAGAACAGCTGGATCACACCCACACTACCAACACAACAACTGGAGTGGCAACAAGGGCAAGTGGTGTTCCCTACACAACTCAAACAGCCATTCACTTGAGGAATGCCATGAGGCTGCCACTCAAGGCCTTGTCACAGCCCCAGCTCAGGCCACACCACCAACTACACACACCACCACCCTCACCACCATGACTGCCACAGCTGTCGCTGCCACTGCTGCACTGCCACCCCACACACCACAGTCATCTGTGCTTGCTGCTATGACCACTGCTGCTGCCACAGCGCGCCCTAGCAACTTTGCTATTGTCAGCAAGTCAGTCGCCAGTACCGCCACAGCCTTCTCAGAGCCGACACCCATCAATAAACCATTCCTGAACTACTTGGTCTTCTCTCTTGTCGCTCCAGTGGATCTCCCCACCATCGCCAACACAGGTGCCACGCAGCACACCACCAACCAAAGGGACCTACTGCATGACTTCATCCCACTCACTGTGCCATTGAGGCTTGTGTGCACTGATGGTGGCTACATCAAATGCCTGGGGCACAGCACTCTGCACAGCACCACCACCATCAATGGTGTGCCCAGCAGCATCATCATGCACAACATCACATTCATGCCCAGTGCATCACACACACTGATCTCACCTCAGCAACTTCTCAACTCTGGCTGTCACATCATGTTCAATCAGCAGAACAGTTTCCTGTTCTACCTCAATGAGCAGCTATGCCTCTTCAGCTACTGAAGTGGCAATCTCTACTACTTCACCATTACCTTCATTCCCACTGCTGATGCCTCCACGCTGGCTGCACTTGTGGTGAGCTCCACACCACTGTGTCTCAACCTCATCCATCACAGACTCAGTCATGTCAGTGAGGAGTGATGCCACAAGTTCATCCATCAGTCCACTGACTTCAGCAAGCATGAGAAGCACACAGCCCTCTCCTCCAAGCTCTCACTGCACTGCAACGTCTGCCTTGCTGGCAAGCAGACTGTGCGCAGTGTCAGTTGGGTGCCACGCACCAACCACGCTGTACATGGGGCCTGCCCTGGCGACCTGCTCTCCCTCGACCTGATTGGACCCATGCGACACCAGTTGGCTGGTGGGCATATATATCTGCTCACTGTCACCAACTCATACTCCAGGATGCACTTTGTGTGTCCCCTGCCCAACAAGACCTCCATGGCTGTTCAGGCTGCCCTGTGTGCGATTGCCACCTTGTTTCCACCGTCTGTCCATGTTCACCGTGTCCAACTCAACAATGCACATGAGCTGGACATGCTGGTTGGCGAATGGATACTTGAGATTGGTGCCAAGAGGGAACCCACCCCACCCTACACCTCAGAGTACAACAGTGTCACTGAGTGGTTCAACTGGGAAGTGATGACGTGTGTGCGCTGCCTACTCTTTGATGCTCGCCTCCCCAGTGAGTGGTGGGCAGAGGCCATGTGCTACGCATGTGATGTCATCAATGTGACGCCTACCTGGTTGAACCTGGACAGCACCTCACTGTTCTCCCTCTGGCACAGCATTGCACCACCTTCATGTCACCTCTGCGTGTTCAGTGCACCCAGCATGATGCGTCTTCAGGCCCATGAGCAGCACAAGGTGTCTGCACAATCCATTCTGGTGTGGTTCATGGGTGTGGTGGACTACTCTTCATCCACCTACTTACATTGTTGGCCAATGGCGTGTCGTTGACACATGCAGTGTCATCTTCAACAAGTGCTGCGCGTTGCCCCCCCCAGATGACTGCCCGCAACCTGTGCTGGTCTACATTCCTCTCCTCAATGATGATGATGATGACGCACAGGCTGGCAATGAGTGGGCTGGCACGCCTGTCTCTCCTGTGCCTGACAACAATGACATGTCTGCTGCTGAACCATTGTCCACCACGCTGGTGCTGACGCCCACCCTGACCACAGTTGGCCCCACGCCCAACCTCAACCTGCACGCACCAGAAGCACTCCCACCCCCTGATCCCACACCAACACCAGCATTGGCATCCAGGCCTGAGCTCCATGCTGAGCTGTCTGTGGCTTGTCCTCCCACCATGATCATTGACTCTGTGTGTGGCTCCATGACCAGCAGCAGCAAGCAGATCCAGTGAGCTGCTGCTGCCAGCGCGAAGCACGGTGGTGACACTGTGACTGTGACAAGATCTGGTTGAAGTGTGCGACAGCCGGCCTGGCTGAATCTTCTCTTGCTGCCCCGCGAGGCACTGGCCTCGCATGAGCTTCACACCATGCTGCAACTGTGGTGCATGGACCATGCGCTGAATCTTGCACAGCACACCACCGCTGTTCCGTGCACCTTCAAGGAGGTCATGGCGTCTGATTCATGGGAGCAGTGGCTTGCGGCGATGCAGTGCGAAATTGACGCGCTTGTACTCAATGATGATCCACTTTTTCATAGTGGGCCCTGCGGTGTGGATTCTTGGTCCCACATGAGTGTGGCACTTGCGACCAAACTGACTATATTGCACAAATGGATCACGTCAAATTGCCATCAGGTCACATGATCCGGTGGTACAAGTGCGACGACGAAAAGCGACCGTCCATGGTGTTTGTGGCGTCGGCCAGTGAAAAACAATGATTATCACTTGTTAGCACTCGCACCACAGCTGACGAATGGGTGTTTATGAGGTCACTATCAGAAACACCTACTGACCCTAAACACCTCTCTCCTCACTCACACTCTCTCTCCTCCTCCTAACTCCGTGGTTCCTGCTCCTAGGTAACCACCGTGGGCCGCTCGAGAGGCGTCCCAGAGAGCTGGCTAGCGGCGTCGCACACCGCAACACTCCTGCGCAGGAGAGCCAGCGGGCAGGCGGGCGGGAACCTCTCGCCACGCAAGAGAAGAAAAAACTTGCTGGCTCACCAGCCAGCGTCCCCTTATAACGCCACCCATGACACCACTCACCAGCAGTGCACCAGCTCACACTCAGTGGTCACACCACCAAGCAGTCACTTCTCCTCAAGAAGCCAGCGTCACACCAGGCAAGTGCTAACCACTCATGATAAAGTACATTTCTGTTTACACAGAAACTACACATTATCACTCATTAGCACTCACACCACAGCTGACAAATGGGTGCCCTAACAGAGAGCAGAAGGGGCAAGGAACAAACACAAAGGCAGGAAAAAACCACGTTCCTTGCAAAGAACACCAGGGCACCCGCCCTCACAGCCCCATCCTCCTCAAGACGCCCACCGTGGCAAGCTCCCGCGCACGCAGGTACCGATCCACCGCTCCAGAGTTCCACCCACTGATGGTCATCGTCTGCTTGCGCGTCAGGCTGCCTTCCACCGCCGCTGTCGCCCTGCTGATACGCAGCGAATGCGACGTGACCAACTCCTTTCGGCCGGCCGCAGCGACCATGCGCTGGCAGATCGAGCTGATGGCGCTGGTTGACAATGGCCGTCCGCTGACGTTCGTGAACAGCAGGCCCGGCTGCCTGCCTCGCACCGCTAGCCACTGCCGGAGCAGCCGAACTGGGCACACCGC